TCAGTCATCTATCTGACCTCCGGCCTCCCCTTCAGTCTTCTATCTGACCTCCGGCCTCCCCTTCAGTCTTCTATCTGACCTCCGTCCAATTTTTTACTGGAGTTCTTCTTTCACCTTTAATGTTTCTAATGTACAAATGTGGTCCACAGATTCACAACAATAAGTACTATCCTTGTCGCACTCCTTACCGATATGTCCCTTGTAGTGGGGGGTGCTCGCAGTGACTGCGGATGGCGCCGCGAATGTCAGCAAAATTGTAGAAATGTCACCAAATGTCATTACAATTTTACAGATTCACAACAAGCCTCACAAAGAAAGCTGATTCAGTTTTCAGCTTCCATTGATGGCTAACACAGTAGAACACTCGCACATTTAGAATAAGGAACAGCCACAATCCAGGAGCCTGCTTTAAACTTTCAGCTGGCATTTAATAATATCAGTACATCATTAAAAGATTATTAAACCCTCATTTGTTTTTGCATACATCTACTGCTAGCAAGCAGTAGATGTATGCAAAACAATAAAAAAAAAAAAAGGAGCCGCCAAGGTTCTCGGGGGAGGCGCATGCGCACTTCAGATGTTCGGCCGCGAGACGAGGAGAGACACAAGGTAAGTCTATGGAGCAGCGTGCACACACACAGACTCTGAGAAGAGGAGGACAGAGGAGTCAGCGCTGGATCGGAGAACCGCACCAGCGCTGGAGGGACAGCTGAAAAGAACAGAAAGAAGATGATCAGATTAAGAGACATCATTTATGATAAGTCTTATATAAATATATATATATATATATATATACATATACACATACATACATACACACACATATACTATATATATATACACAACCACACACACACTCGGTGGCCAAATCACAAACAGCAGATCACGTGGCTCCAAAAAATCAATACTGTATATAAATCATGCAGACGTGGCCAGGAGGTTCAGTCACCAAACATAAGAATCTGGAAGATTGTAGAACAATTAGAGACTCTTTACCCCCCTGGGATCTCTGGCGTCTCTGGTGTTTACATAGAACGGTGTTCAGACAGAAGGAAGTTCTGTTTGTGACAATATCATGTAGATAGAGAGAGGGGTCAGGAAAGCAAGGTCCGATTTATTCAGGAACACAGGATGTGCACAGCCGCTCCAATAAGCGCTCTTTACAGCAGTGCCGTCTATGAACGCACAACATGGCCGGCTATAGCAGCGGGAGACCAGGCCCAGGGAATGGTCCACCTCTGCAGAATGTTGAATTGTACTGCGATATGAAGAACAACGTCACGAATCCTTGGATCTATCCTGTCCCATGCGGTGGTACCAAACAATGGTGCGGGGAATGTTTTCCTGGCCCTCTTTAGGTCTCTTAAGGGCTAGTTCACACCACATGCAGTCCGTTCAGTTTGGCAGCTGTATCCAAAAATGCATCACAATGCACAATACTGCTTGCCCTATTTTAGCTGCAGCGGATCGCAACGGAACACATCAAAAACGCAATAGAACGCACCTGAAATCGCATTTTAAGCAACAACAAAAATACAGCAATCAACGTAAAATCGCGGCAAAACTCATCTGATTGCAGCTGCGCAGACGCACGCAGTTCTGGTGTGAACTACCCCTAACACCAGCTGAATGGCTCAGCCTAGCAGTGTAATGCTGCTGACAATGTGCATTCCTCTCAGGGAGGTTTCCATTATTGTGTCAGTGAGCTCGATGTTCTGTAATGAGGTGCACTGTCCCCAGAACTCAATACAGCGGGACAAGTTCTGCAGCTTGTGGCCTACACAGATGCGAGACATGAAGTCTACGGGACCAAAACACGCTAAGGAACAAGGAGAACACACAAAGAAAGCATTGCCCCTCCACGGCTCAGGAAAGGAATGATCTGGGTGCTTGCCGCTGGGAGAACGTCCTTGCTACAATATGAGCCCATACATACAGAAGATAAGCTGGCCGCACAGCGGATCACTGGTGTCCTGCACCAAGATACTCGAAGGATAGATGTTTGTACTTTTGTTTGCTTGCATGTGCCAAGCTGCAGGGCCCTCAGGTAGCCTACCATGTGTACTGTCCTATCTCATTGCTGATAACTGACGCCAGGGTGCTGGAGGAGGACAAAACCTTTAACCCCTTCATGACCGAGGCCTTTTTTCAGTTTTTTGCACCCCCATTTTAGGCCTGAAAATTACTTAAAACCCCCCAAACATGATATATTTTCTGAAAGCCGGGACCCTGTAGAATAAAATGGCAGCAGTTGCAAATTTTTATGTTGCACGATATTAGCGCAACATATTAATCAAGCCCAAAAATTTAGTAAAAAATGCACTAAAATTGGAATGTGGTAGAAATGAATTTGTGTAAGCATTTTAAAAACAATAATAATAAAAAGGTAAATATTTAAAAACAAAAATGCACTAAAGTTAAATGTAATGCCTCAAAACACAATAAAATACCAATTTTTTTAAAAAAATAAAACGAGTAAATAGATACCCAACATGGCCAGGTTAAAAATTGCGTGCGACTGTGAAACGGCGACAAGTTTCAGTACCCCAAAAAGTCTGTAGACGACGCTTTAAAAGCCCCCACAGGTCATCAGTTTAGAGATGCACATAAAAACTGGCCCCAGAATTATTGCTCTCACTCCGGCGTGCGCGGCGATACTCGTGTAGTGCGATCATCGTTTTCGTGCGTAGGCGTACCCGACGCATGTTTACATTATCATGTGCGTGCTCACGGGGCACTTTAAAAAAAGACATTTTAATTATTTTTACATTTATTTTATTTAATATTAAATTTTAAAAACGTTTATTTTTTAATTTTTTTACGTTACTTTAAATTGCTATCACATAGGGGGGCTTACAAGCCTCCCCGATGCTGGCGACGTACATTGTACGTCGTCAGTCACGAATGGGTTAAGGTGATGCTGGGGGTCCAAAAGACCCCTTGTATCAGCTTTTTTTTTTTTTTTACGTTACTTTAAATTGCTATCACATAGGGGGGCTTACAAGCCCCCCTATGTGATAACATATTCGTGGTGACAGGTCCTCTTTAAGGTGATGCTGGGGGTTCAAAAGACCCCTAGTATCAGCTTTACACTCTAAATAAGCTATTGAAGTGCAGATCACACTTCAATAGTTTATTGCTGGGCTTCAGGAGCCAAGCAATGACAGCTATGGGACCGGAAGTGATGCACTACGCGTCGCTCCCGGTCCCATAGAACGGGGAGGAAATCGGTGAACGTTTACAGGCCCGGAGAAGTGATCCTGCGACGGCTGAGTCGCCAGAATATCTTCTATTGTAAAGCCGGCTTTACAAATGTAAACAGAGTCTCTGTTTAAACGGGCCCGGTGCCAGTGACATACTATGGACGCCACTGGTCACTAAGGGGTTAATATTCTTTCATGTTATTTAGACTGCACCTTTGGCTAATTTCTTATGCATCTGTTACCAACAAGTCCAGGAGACAGGCTGAGGGGGAGATCAGTAATTAGTAAAAATTCAAGTCATGAGGCTGCACTATTATAACAATACAACAGTGGAGATACAACGTACTACACAGGTGAAACTCGAATAATTAGAATATCGTGCAAAAGTAATTGCAGTAAGTGCTGCAAAAGGGGCCCAAACCAAGTACTGAGTACATATGCATGCTTGTATTTTTAAGAGGTCCGATATTGTTCTATGTACAATCCTTGTTTTATTGATTGCATGTAATATTCCCATGTTTTGAGGTTGTGGATTTGGGGTTCTTGGGGTTTTCATGAGCTGTAAGCCATAATCATCACAATTATGACAAATCACGGCTTGAATTATCTTGCTTTGCATGTAATGAGTCTATCTCATATATTAGTTTCACCTTTTAAGTTGCATTAGTGAAATAAATGAACTTTGCACGATATTCTAATTATTCGAGTTTCACCTGTAGTTGCCAATAGGTGACTGGTTCTCTTTAAAGTACACAGTGTATTAATAATTCGAGTGTTACGCTCCTATACTCTCCCTTCATCTACAATACTTTTGTTTCTGCATCTAAACAGTAAAAAGCAGTAAAAATAACGTGTGAAAGGTCCATAAAGTGAACCAGATCCATCCATCGCTCCAATATATAGTTAACGCCGAACATCGGGTGTACAATCTCTGTTGTCACGCTGGCCTGCATGAAGAGTGAGATAAAATGTCCATGATGGCAATCTGCTGACAATTCAAACAGGAAGTCCTCCTGAAGGGTTGAGAAATTCATTTCTTCACTGCAACCGACCGCAGAGACACACCTATTTCTCTTCTGTATAGACAACACGCAGCTCAACCTGAAATCCCAGAGGCACCACAATTGTATTGTTTGCAACGATAATTCATTCCGCCAACCAGGAAAAATCGAGGCTCGTGAGTATATTTGGGGTCCGGAGTTCATCTTGGAAGTACAAAAATGAACACAAACTCCCAATTTGCTGCCAAAAGTAAAATGTTCATTGCTGCTTTCCTATTTTATAAAACATTGTTACATTGTATATACAGAGAAGGGAATCGATCAAATATGGGAGCAGCTGTGCACGGCAACCAGATTGTCAATGTCAATTTCATTTTCAAACCTTATCTGAACAAACTGAAGAAACAATCTGATTGTTTGCTATGCACAGTTGCTCCAATGAAATATTAGACTGTGACTTTTTTTTGGAGGCCAGACAGTATACACTGAGTGGCCAGATTATTATGACCACCCCATCAGTACTTCGTTGGGCCGCCTTTTGCCTTCAATACTGCGGCGATTCTTCTTGGCATTGACTCCACGAGATGGTGAAAGGTGATGCGAGGAATCTGACACGGCACTGTTGCCCTTCTGTTGTCTTGTACCAGTCTTGCCCCTCCCCCGTTCTGCCCTAACATTGACTAGTCGCTGACGTCCACAATTCGCACGTTCAGACCCAGATTTTAGGCTGACAGTCCGGTCTTTAAAAACTTTAACACCAACTGGTCTTGAACATTTAAAGTGATATTAAAAGGCAAAAATGTTTTCCCCTCCCCCCCCCATGTAAATGTTAGCACTTACCTTAAATGATGTCTCTTTTTCCTATCTTCCTCTTCTTTCCCCATGTTTTCATGTGTCCCTCCAGCGGTGTCATGTCACTCCGATCCAGCGCTGACTGCTCTGTCTCTCCAATCCAGCGGTGTCTGCAGGCGGGTGCACGCGTCCATAGACTTACCTTGCGTCACTGCTCATCTCCCGGCCGAGAATCGGAACTGCGCATGCGCCCGCCCCAAGATCCTTTACGGCCGTACGAGCAGTTCCTGATTCTCGGCGCGGGAGCGAGCAGCGATAACGAGGTAAGTTTAAAATGATTTTAAGCGGTTTTTTTTACACTTCTTGCCTATATCTACTGCATGCTAGCAGTAGATATAGGCAAAAACAACCAGAGGGTTTAGAACCCCTTTAACGAATTCTGCTGTTTTGCTGATACTCGCTCCATGGCTCCGAGTGCCAACAATCATCCCGCGTTCAAAGGCTGTTAAAAGGAGAACTATGAGGCGGGTGCTTTTCACTCACCTCATAGTTCTAGCCGACCTGTGACAATGAGACTGTCACAGGTCGGCTCAGTAGATCGGGAAGTGAGCGAACACATACCGGCGTTCGCTCACTTCTTGATCCTGTCACGGCTCTCTGCTGGATTCCCCCCTCCCCACTCCGATCTGCCAGCCCTGACTGGCGGAGCGGAGGGAGGATGGGGCGGGTACAGCTGGCTCTGCCTCTAGATAGGCAGAGACAGCTGTCACTCACGCAGCTGGGCGGATCTCGACATCGATGTCGTGATCCGCTCCAGCGTCTCAGTATACCGCGAGCTGTATACTGAGCTTAGGGTGACGGGAGGACGCTGGTTTGTGTCCTCCCGTTACCCTAAGGAGAACTATGGGGAAAAGCCCTGACCCCATAGTTCTCCTTTAAATCGCGTTGTTTCCCCGTATCTTCAGAAACAAATCACTTCTACTGTCGTGGTAACCAACCCGCTTCCCTATATATAATGGTCTGGCCCTCCAGCAACTTCAGCGCCAAATTATAGCTAATTTGCCTACAAACGTCAGGTGGTCATAATAATCCGGCCGCTCGGCGTATATTATTATAATATACGTCCCGATGTTTTACATTGAAAAGCGACTTACCACCAGTCCCCAGCACCTTGAGGAGCTCGAAATTCTCGATCCCAACTTTCTCGGCGTGCCCTGTCAGGTTCGCTGTAAAATAAAAAAGAGAGACGGCAGCCATGACACAGAGCTCATCAAGTGAATTACTACCCTCAGCCCACTCCATGTACCATCTACATCAGCGCTCGCACACATCGATCCAAAAAAACGATACGAAATATGTCCGGCCGTACATCACGACTTTCATTCAATAACGCCGACTGATCTCTCTCTCTATTCATTAAAAAAATGAAGTGAATTTATTAATCGAACGGAGCTAAAAAGGGCTGAATCATCACCTCCCGCTAATGAAGTTGTTGGACCGAAGTGCAGATGTGCCACTCTGCAAAACCGTCACACAAAACTGTCATTGCCGGTCGAGCTGCTGGAAAGAGCGGAGAGGAACCTTTTGTTACCGTTAACAATGTGCCATGCTGCTAGAACCTAACCTCTGATTGGCTGCCATAGAAGAGTCCCTTGCTCATTGCACAACAATGTCAAGGCCGCAGCCGTGTTTTGGTGTGTATAAAAATATATATATATGGATGAGAAACGTCGAGAGGTTCCTCATTTAATCAGCAGCCACCGAGCAGCAGAAGGGAACCTGAGGGGATAGAAACGTGGGCGCTGCCAGATGACTTGTTTTTGAAGCTGCATGGTTCCAGGGATGTCACCCCCGTCCTGGCTTAAAGGAGCTGTAAAGTCCCGGCATGTACCATCCTGTTATGACATCCGCATTGTAATGGGAATACATAATAGAGATGTTTCTGATAACACAATCAAAGCTTACACGGAAAAAAAATCCCTTTTATGTAGTGAGCGCCGCCTTCAGTCTGTCCATCACTTCCAACAACTTCCTGGACTCCCAGTGTGCTTTGCATCTCTTTCCCTGCTGCTTTCACCATTTCTCAAGGCTACATATCCCATCATGCACTGCTTCCAGCAAGCAATGATGATGTCACATTGTTCAGATGTTGGGTTTCTAGTTTAGAAGGCAGGCTCTGTGAGAAGGGACCACACAGGGTCCCTTCATCAGGCTTTAGCATTGACGGAAGGGATGAAGGGACCCTGTGCGGTACCGAAAGGGACCACACAGGGTCCCTTCATCAGGCTAAACCTTTAGCCTGATGAAGGGACCCTGTGCGGTCCCGAAAGCGCTTGTTTGGTCATATGACAAAAACACTTCAATAAATGAAGCTTTTGCTATCTTAAAAGGATTGGTGTGCTGGTGACATTTCTACAATTTTGCTGACATTCGCGGCGCCATCCGCAGTCACTGCGAGCACCCCCCACTACAAGGGGCATATCGGTAAGGAGTGCGACAAGGAGTGGTGACACCACTTTGTGCATATTCACAGGGCTGAGTGAAATGGTGTCAGTGCATTGAGGAAGTCCATCCTCTGGGCATCTTCAGTAAGTCAGTTTACAATCTTCTAGATCAATATGGTTATTAGGAGCGAGGGATCGAAATGATAGAAATTCAATATGGAAATAGATTTATTTTTAGCTTTTAACCACAGATGCCGTTTAAAGCGCGGTAGTATGGGGAGGGGATCGATGAACGGAAGTTCGTCGACCTCCTCCCCAGCTCCTCGCGGACACCAAGGAAGCCGGTCCCGGGCCCGTAGGAGGGGCAACGGAGCCCGGGAAGCACGGCATGAATCAGGAAGCCAGGTACAGTGTCATTACACGGTGCCCGGCTTCCTGATTGGCCAGAAAGCCGACTCAATGCTTTCTCGTCACCTATTGACGAGAAGCATGGGGACGGCTTCCCGGCTAATCAGGAAGCCAGGTGGCGAGTCTTTACACGCCGCCCGGCTTTTTTAATGGGGCTTACGGTATCGGTATTCGGTATCGGCGAGTACCGGAAAAAAAAAAATCGGTTCTTGTACTCGATACCGAAAAACAGGTATCGGTGCATGCCTAGAATTCGGGAGCCAGTCTGACCAGTCCACGAAGGCAGCTCCATTGACAACAACTAAAGAAAACCCCAAAAGTCGATGGACGCTGTTCCTAGATGTTTAAAGGTTTTAGTTTCCTGCAGACTCAGCTGGTCCCCTGAGCACTGGTCCTGACTTTCTGTTTTCGAGTGACTCCTTTGTCAAGCAAGAGAGCTATGTAGTCACCCTTGTGTGTTTCTCCAAGCTAGTAAATGGACCTCTGCTGGAGTCTGCTCTGTTCTTTCTGATCTTGTTCTGGACAGGAAGTTCAGGGAAGCCGAACTGAGAGACCTGGAAGCAGCTGTTCACAAACGTGTTTTGGTCAAAAATGGGAAGCGATACTTTGCTGGACAATGTATATTTGTTTGATCCGGATTCATTATTGAAAAGAAGTTTAAAAAAAAAAAAAAAAAACAGTGCGTTCCATTGTTGCCTAGAGTTGGACAATA